GAGCTGTGGGAGGGAGCAGGGGTCTGCACACACCCCACCTTCAGGCACCTGGCCTCCAACACCTCCAGAGAGTTACTGTGTGTTTTGTGGCACTTCACTGAGGGCCTGAGGGCACGGGTGGGAAGCCTGGCAGTCCAGCTGCAGGCAGCACTGCAGATAAGCACGGGCTGTGGGGTCCTGTGGGTACCCTCCGGGGGACTCCGCCAGACCGGGGTGGGGGCTGGTCAAGGTAGGCTTCTGGAGGAAGTAGTATCACAGCCAAGACGGGGCATGGGCAGGGGGAGAGGAGACATTCGATTCAGTGCCTGCCCAGGGCCGGTGTGCGTGGCTGTCCTGAGGGTGACATGTCCAGTAGGGAGTCAGCTGCACAGACGGGGGCTCTGGGGAGAGGCTGGGCTGGAGAGGCAGAGCTGGGTGCCCTCCCCGTTCCCCCAAATCCAGCTCGAGGCTGGCTGAGGAGTGGGGTTTGTGTGGGTGGCACGGGGAGGCCTAGCTGGTGGGTAACATGGCCAATCCTGTGGTTTATAAAAAATCCCCCCCGGGGCTGGGTGTAGAGAATGGGCTGGAGAGGAAGGAAGTGGGGCAGGGGAACCAGCGAGGAGAGAGCTGCCCCTCATTCCAGGAAAGAAGTTGGACTAAGGCCCTGGCGGTCACTGGTGGGAGGTGGTGGTCGGGCAGAGCAGCAGGAGAGGGGAAGAGGGGAGGGTTTAGGGAGTGGACTCCTTGGAGGATGGTGGGACGTCCTAGGCCGGCTGGGGCGGAATCTCCAGGAAGCAGCCCTTGCGGGGAAGAGGGGTCGGCAGTTGCCCCCAGGACTGGACCCTGGTCCTGAGCTGTCCCGGAGGTGGTTACTGAAGGTGACGACAGGCACCTCAGGCTTTTGGGAGCTCTCGTCAGCCAGCCCCAGGGCGGCGGGCAGAGAGAGGGCTTGGGCAGAGAGGGTGGGGGACCTGCTCAGGCCTCTCAGCTGAGACTTGGGGTGGGGGGTGAGCAAGGTTTCAGTCTGCACGTCCATGTCCCTGCCTCACAGGGGCTGCTGCTCGTCAGAGGGGTGGTCCCTGTGACCCGAGGGGGCTTGCAGTACTGTTTGCTGGCTGCCGGCTCCTGCGGCTGTCCCAGCAGACTGAGGTGGTCCTTGGGCTGGGTGGGAGCCAAGGCAGAGCCCGGCCTTGGGGAAGTCTAGCTCCTAGCCTGGAGAATAGAGTGGTCGGGGCTGGGAAGGGGCTTCTGGGAAGGTGGGGGTGGGAAGGCCCACCCCCACCGCTGCCGCTGCCACTGCAGGCCCTGCCCTGGGCTGAAGGCACGGGACCTCCCTTCCCTCCTCTCCTTGGAGGCAGGGGCCACTGGGGGCACTGGAGGAGGGGCGGCTTGAGACCGCTGGTTTCCACTTGGAAGCCCTCTTTATTTGGCTGGGGATGGAGAAAGGCTGGGGTCAGAGTGCATGCATCCCCATGGAAACAGCAATGAGCCTGGCCCCTTGGGGACCCTGGCCCTGGTGGGGGATGGGGAGGCCAAGCTGGGGCTGCAGGGCTCCTTTGGCTGAGGCCTGGGCCCGGCCTGTGGCAGCAGCTCTCACAGGGAGGTCCAGGCCCTGAGCTGCGAGACCTGTGAGGAAGAGGAGCAGGGGAGGCAGGGCCACGGGGAGAACTCGCAGGGGAGAGTGGACTGTGCCTCCTGCAGCCGGATGCTCCCACTGGCCGTTAGTAGGCGGCCAGAGGCAGTGAGGCTGCAGGCCTTGCCGGCAAAGGGACTTCTGGTTCAGCTCGACCTCGTGCTCCCTGGCTGCGGGGCTGGTTCCAGAGCCAGCAGGCAGGTCTGGGTACCCTGGTCCTAAACGCCTTGCTCAGCTCAGACTCCGCCTCCGCCTGAGAGGCTGGCTGCAGGGGGTGGGGGTGGGGCCGACAGGTGGGAGCCAAGATGGAGGACGGGCGAACCCCAGCAGTCCGAGCAGGGCAGCCCTTGCCCTCGGGAAGGCCTCTGGTCTGTCTGGGGTTGCCACTTCGTGTCACAGCTGGGTTCTGCTCTGGCCAGGCAGCTTAGTTGGCTAGAGCGCTGTCCTGATACACCAAGGGTGCAGGTTCGATTCCTGGTCAGCGCACATACAGGAATCAACCATCCATTGAATGCATAAATAAGTGGAAAAACAAATCTATGTCTCTCTCTCTCTCCCTTCCTCTCTCTATTAAAAAAAGGAAGGACATAAGACTGGATTCTTAGTTCCTCCATCAGCTGCAGGTGCCCCTGTCCGTGTACAGTTTTCATTCAGAGAAGTGACAGTCTCAGAGAGACCAAAATAAGGCTCAGCCCCAGCTTCGGCCGTCCTTGAGTGCCGTGCACACCTCTGGGCCCGCTGGGCTCCAGGCTGCGCCTCTCCTGCCCTCACCAGCCTGCCCGAGGCCAGCTCCCTTGGCACAGGTGTTCTCTCTGCCCCTCCTGTGGGGGAAGCTACCCAGGCTCTCAGAAGTGCCAACGTGTATGTGTGCACCAAAGTAGTTGCCCCAGACTCCAGTGCCCACCTCTGGGAGCCTCACAGGTGAGTGCACCCGTTAGGGACGTGTACCTGGGGATGTGGACCGGATCTACCTTTCCGCTTTCTGCAGTCCACAGGGCAAGTCCGCTGGCGCGTGTCGGGCTGGCGGCTGTCCAGCTGGCCGGGCTTGCCGAAAAGACCTCAGAGCCCCCGAGAGACAGCCATCGGGGCCCAGGGAGGCCCCCGTTGGGCAGAAAAAGACCAGCTAGCTCCTCATCACTGTCTTCAAGAAAATCCAAACACACACTTGCATGTTTTGAATAAATTTACATGTTGATTGCACTATTCTAAATCAGACTTTTTTTTTTTTTTTTCTGGAAGAGGAGCCTTCATTCCAAGTCTATGAAATAAAATGAGATACAGAGGCAATTCATCTTCTACTGCAGGGATTGAAAAGGTGCTGGGGTGGCTTTCAGTTTCTAGGCCTGTGCTGCAGAGGGGTCCAGAGGGCACCAGTCCTTCCCCAGCCAGAGGGATATGGCCCAATGCAAATGTGGAGGGGCCGCCCAGATAGACTCCTTGGTGGGGGAGGGGCTCCTGGCGGTAGGGGCATCTCTTCCTGTTGCTCAGGACCCCCAGCACCCTGCGAGGATGCGGCACACAGCAGGACTTCACCGTACAGTTCCCAGACAGAAGGGTGAACGGTCCCACTGTCCCGGGGACCCTGGGGAGGACTCTGTCCAGGCTTGGGCACACACTAGGGAGTGTGGGAAGCCGCTCGAGCTTGCAGCTGGCCAAGGTGGGGAGTCTGAATGCCCATTTCTCTTCCGTGAGCGTTACCTACTGGAGACCCGCACCGGCAGGACTGATCAGCCCATTGGACTCCAACCTGTCACGGATGTGGCCGGTCCGAGGGTGGGACTGGTGGCGGTGATCACGGTGGCTCTCTGCAACTGAGGCAGATTCTATAGGAGCTGGCGCAGGAGGCTGGGCAGGAAGACCTGCGATGGGAACCCTGAGGGGCGCATCTCCGTGCCCGCTGTACCAACTTGCTCTGCTCACCACAGCCAGAAGGATCATCCCAACGCTGGACTCCGACCAGAGGCCACTCCTGGGCCTCTGCCCCACCCCAGCCTCCCTGGAATGGCACCTCCCCCAGCAGTTTCAGGGACTGGGATCTCTGACTCTGACCACCATCCCCCACCCCCCGCCGGCCCCCAAGCACCCAGCTCCAGGCCAGCCCTGAGCCCCGCACGCTGGAGGACGGCTGAACCCTCGCTATGCAGGTAATCCGCAGGAAGACCGCAACACCCCGGGGTCGGCCGGTCCCCCCATCCCTGTAGTTGCTTGTGACCGCCTCTGCCAAGTCCATACTGCAGGGCTCAGGAGCGCAGGCGTGGGGGCTCTGCACCTCCTCTCCAGCGCGGGAGTCCCTCCACGCTACCCGGCGAGGTCCACCTAGGTTTTCGCGTGCACGCGCCCTGAAACCCGACCGCCGCCTTCCCCGCTGGGGCGGCAGCTCCAGGACCCGCGCCTTCTTCCTGCCTCGACTGTCCCGGGTGCCTCCCGCGCGAGGCGCGCGCGGGCGCAGGGCGGGAGGGCGCGGCGGGCCCTCGTCGCGAGCCGGAGCGGGTAGCGCGGGGCGGCCTCCTCGGCGGTGATTGGGCGCGCGGCCGTGACGTCAGCACGCCGGCTCGCCCGGCCTCATCCTCTCCGGCTCGGAGCTTTCGGTTCAGCTGCCGCCTGGCGCGCGCCTGGCCTGAGGAGCGGGAGCGGGGCGCGCGTCGGCGCTGCTCTGAGGCGGTTCGCGAGGTCTCGCGGCCCCGGCCCCTGCTTCCCGGCCCCGGTCCCCCGGCCCCGGTCCCCCGGCCCCGCCCGGCCCCCGCCCGCGACCGCCGCCCCTCCCCGCTAGCCCAGCGCGGATTTGAACGGCCGGGCCGCAGCCCGCGAGCGCGGCAGCCAATCAGCGGCGCGCACTTTCCCGCGGCTTCTGCGGCGGCGGCGGCCCGGCGGCGGCGGCGGCGGGCGGGAGCGCGGGGGGCGGGGTCGGCGCCGCGCGCGGAGAGCCTCGGCCTGGCCGCGCTGCGCCCGCCGCCGCCCCCTCCCCTCCCTCGGCCCTCCTTTCCCGCGGCTCCGGCCCCCTCCCCGCCGCCGCGGAGCCCAGCGCCGCGGCCCGAGAGCCGCCGCCGCCAGAGGATGCGACGTACCACAGGTCACTGGGGCGGCCGCGGGCCCGAGAGTGGGGCGGGGGTCGGGGGGCCGGGGGCGCGGCCGGGACGCGGGCGGGCGGCGGCGGCGGCGGTAACGGGGCGGCGGGCGGGCGCGGCCATGTTGGGCCTCCGCGGCGGTTGCACCTGTGCCGGCCTGCGGGCCAGGCGGCCTTTGTTCGCGGCGGCGCCCAGCCGGCCGGGCCGGCCTTTTGTGAGGCGCCGGCCCGGCCGGGCCGGGGCCGGGCGGTGGGAGGGGCGCGGCGGGCGGCGGGGAGGTGCTTTTTGTCTGCGGCGGGTCCTCGGGCGACACTGGCGGGCGCCGGCCGTTGGTCGGCACGGGCGCCCGCCCGGCTGCCGGACCGGGCCTCGGCAGGTGGAGGCGGACGCCGGGCGCGGGGACCGTGCCGGGCTGCGGGCGCGCGCCGCGCCCAGCCTCGCCTCGGTGCCCCCGGTCCTCGGGGCCAACGCGGTTCCTCGGGGCGCGCAGGAACGCGGCCGCGGTCCGCACGCCGGCCGGACCCCAGCCGCCGGGAGGGCGGGTTAAAATCGAGGCATTTAAAAACCGCTGCTCTTGACTCCGGGCGGAAAGGGCTCGGGACCGTTGCAGCCCTGGTGTTTTCCCGCGGCGCCCGGGACGCACACGGCCCCGGGTTTGACGTTTGAGCCGAGACTTCGCTTCTCGGCGGCGGGGGTCCCCTCCGGGCAGGGACCCGGCGCCCTGGGGCGCGCGTGGGAACCGAAGCTGCCGCGGAGGAGCCGTGCGACCGGCGGCGGGGGAGCCGGTTAGGGAAGTTCTTGACTGACAGCCCGCGCTCCGACTTCGAAGGCCTCGACTTTTAAATGAGTTAAACCCCAGGATGTGCGTTCCTCCGTCGCTAACCAACCTAAATGCTTGGGGGATACCGAGTCCGCTCCGTGTGCTTTGGGATAAGGTTAGTAAGAGGGAAAGTTGGCCCTCCCGTCCGTGCGCCGGTACTTGGACTCTTATTTTCCAAAACGGTTTAAATGCCCTCGTTGCATATTTAAACGCGGGGAGAGCGTCGGCGCTGGAAAACCACAGCTCCGGAGGGTAGCGCGGAGGAAGCGAGCGCCGGAGCCCAGGAGCCCTTCCCGCGTGGGCCTGCCCGGGCCCTGGCTCAGAGCTAGACCGCGGCCGCCGGGAGCAGGACTCATGCCCGAAGCACGCTGGCTTTGAGTCACTTCCTTTCCCTCTCTTCCATTTTCTCAGCCCTCAGCTCGGGCCGTGGCTGCCAGCGCGGACCACATGGGTGGGAGCTTTGTGCGGAGCTCGGGTGCCCCCTCTCCTCGGCACCCAGAGCCCGCCCCCCACCCCCAGCCCGTCCCAGCCCCGGAGGGTCCAGCCCGAGGGTGTGGGACCAGGGAGCTTCAGAGGAGGGTGGGCGGTTTGTGCGGTGTGCGCGCGCACGTGCCGCATCCGTGTGCAGAGGGTGAGCAGACACCACCTGGGGCTCGTGGAGGCTGGCGGGGGGGGGGGGAAAGGAGGGGTGGCTACTAGGCTCGCGTTTCCCATGCAGCCGCTTTACTCCCGGGGCTGGTGCAACCACGCCTGCCCCAGGGCGTGTTAGTCAAGGAAGCGGGGTCAGAGTCCCGGGGGCTAGAGGCCATGCGGCCCCGTCCAGGGGTCCAGCCTCCCTCCTGTTGGGTGCCCTCTCCTCCTGCAGGCAGTCCAGCTTGGGAGGGCTCGCTCACAGGGCCGAATGTAAACGAAAACTAATTGGTTACTTCCTCTTAGGGCTTAGGGCTTACTGCTTCAGCGTAAACCGAGTGGAAGTAGGTGGGACTGGATTTCCTGAGGAGCGCTGGCGGGGAGATGGGAAGCACTGACGAAACGTGAGCGGTGTGAGGCTCGGGGTCCTGGCCGCCAAGCCCGTGTGGCGGCGTGGGCTGCGGTGGTGCTGGGGTTCGTCGCCCCCGTTTGCGTCCTTGCTCGTTCGGCTCCGGGCACAGCATCTTTCCCAGGGGCGGCTCCCGTCGGCGGGGACGGGAGGCGCAGGCTCGCTGCTCCCACCCTCGGCGTGCCCGGAGGTTGGTGTTCTGCTGGGCGGGCTGCTTGGCCCCCAGGCGCCGTCTTGGAGCTGCGTCGCAGCCGCCGGAGCCCAGCGGAGCCCTTCCCTGGTGCCGGACTGCAGTGAAGGTGTCCTTGCTCGCCACGTTGGTGCCCGCAGCCGGCTGCAGGCCTCTGTGTGGACTGCGGTGGGGTGGCCCTGTGCTCTCCTCGCTGCCTGAGGGCAGAGCCCCAGCCTTCCAGGGGCTGCCTGGGACCTTTCTCCCCTGTGGGCTGGGCTCTTGGAGGCAGAGGACTGTCACCGCCTCTGCTGGCACCCCATCGCGGCAGCGCTCAGTAGACCCGAAGCTGCAGGCCCAGGGCTCAGCGTGACCCGACAGCCGGGTCGAGTGCCGGCGCCCGGCCTGTCTGCCTGTGCTGTCCGTAGACCACGCTGCAGCACAGGGGAGCGGCCCGAGGAGGCCGAGTTTGGGGAGGGAGGGGCCGGCCCAGGGCTGCCCTGCTCTCCTTGGGGGAGCCGCAGCCCCTCTGCCAGGCAGGCCTCCTCTCTCCCCTCTCCCCACCCCGGCGAGTGCCGATGTCAAGGGAAAATCGGCCGTGGCGCACGCAAGCACAGCAGCGGACGGAGCTGCAGCTGACGGCCTGCCTCTGAGGTGGAGGGGCCGGGTGCGCCCGCCGCCCGCCGTGTCCTAGGTGGGGCGAGGGGAGGCTCGGGGGCTAGGCTCCTGCTCTGCGCAGTCTCCACACGGCGGTGTGGCCGTCCGTCTGTCCGTCCGTCCCGAGCGGTCCTTCACAGCGAGCACTTCGGGAGGCGGAGCCTGCAGCAGGTCACCCCGGGGCTCAGCAGCACTCCCCATCCGTGGATCGGTTGTGATCTGGTGGCACTCGGTGTGCTAGTCACACGAAACCAAGACAGACCTCAAGCGAGTGTTGTCTCTGCATCTGCCTCCCAGAAAGCCAGTGGCCGAGGGCAAGCCCCTACCTTCTGGGGTGCTGGCGGTCTGTGGTGCTCGGTAGTTCACGGGACACACGGGGCCGGAGCTGCAAAGGGCAGGCTGAGCCCGCGGGTGCGGGCCTTTGCTAGTGGGCGTGGAGACCATGTTTTGTTTCTTTTTAAGATTTTGTTTATTTTTAGACAGGGAGAGAGGGAGAGAAACATCACTGCATGGTTGCCTCTCGCCTGCCCCCCCCCCCCCCCCAGGGACCTGGCCCACAACCCTGGGTGCTGTCTGGTTTGGGAGGCCTAGGGGTGTGTCCTTGACCTTTTGTGCCTCACCTGCCTTTGCACCACCGTCCACTCTCACTGTGCTCCAGCCACTCGGGTCCCCGGCCTGCCGCCCAGCTGTGCGTGGCCTCAGGCGGTGGCACTGGCCTGCCAGGAGCTCCCCTCTGCGCACCCGCACACCACCCCTGCCCGCCCTGCCGCCCCCGCGCCCGCCCTCCGCTGCAGCCCTCGCCTCCGGCCTCCGCGTGGGTCCCGTGCTTGTCCGTCTCCCGGGCTGCACTGAGGTGTCTGTCAGGGAGGGAGCTTCCTCCTTCCTGACCTTCTTCCGCCTGTCCTCTAGATTTTTAAAACTTCTGCTTGCTTATTTTTACAGGAGAAGGGGGGGAGAAAGAGAGGGAGAGAAATATCCCAGTACCCGGGGACCTGGCCCGCAACCCAGGCGTGTGCCCTGACTGGGAATCGAGCTGGCGACACCCGCCGGCCCACTGAGCCACAGCAACCAGGGCAGCTTTGGTGGTTCTCGTGCGCCCATGCTGGAGCGGTACCCGAGGGCTCCTTCGCTCAGCGACTGAACCAGCGGTCCCCCAGCCCCTTGTACGAGGTGCATGGTGTAACACTTCCCGGAAGGGGAGCAGCTGACAGGGAGGGAGCGGCGTGAGCATGTTGTCCTGGTGTGCGGTTGGACAGGTGTCACCTCACCCTGGGCTGGTGACAGGTCCCAGGGAGGCTCATGGACCAGTGATTGAGAACCGTGGCCTTCCCGAGCACAGGAGGTGGCGGGAGGAGAAGTGGGCAAATGCAAGAGGGGGGCAGCATCGGTGGGCTGGGGTCAGCGTGGGACTCAGAATTGGGGGAATGGGCCCCAGGAGTTCTGGGGTTCAGAGTTTGCAGGATGAGGACGGGGCTGCTGCCCCCATCCCACTGTGGACCAGTGCAGAGGGAGGGGCCCCTCTGTTTCTCGCCTACTTCCGTCCTTCCCGCGGAGAAGCTCCGGCCTGCCCGAGCGCGGCCCTGGGGCTGTGCAGCTCGTCCGGCGGAGGGGCTCTGGTGGGGTGTGGTCCTCGCCTGCTGCTCCAGGCCTTCGCCGGCCGGTCCTTGGCGGGGCGCGGAGATGGCGCTGCTGTCCCTCCCTGGGGCATCGCGCCCCACCCCTGGCCGGGCAGCCTGGTCTCCCGTGAGCACCGGCCCGGCCGGGCAGGGCGCGCCGTGCGTTCTCTGGCCTCCTGTCTGGGTCGTGAGTCTGTGGGGGCGAGGGCCCTCGGGCTTGTCCCCTGGGTTTTGGGCAGTGCCCAGGGGCAGTCAGTTAACAAGGGGGATAGCTTTGAGCCTTCTGCTTTCCTGAAGGTTTTTATCTCATAAACATGTGAATTCCTAGATTTTTTACATTGAAATAGTGTTAGACGGAAGAGACTTCTGTCTTGCTTTCCCTAGAAGATTTGAAGTCAAGTTGCCATCTGTGCAGAGCTTCTCACGTGGGTTTTTTGCGCTGCAAACCCCTTCAGAGGCTCGTGGGGTCCTCCCCGGGGAGGCCCAGGGTCACTGGGCCACACGCCACCGGGGTGCCTGTGGGCCTGAGCCGGTTCCGTGCCCTGGGGACCTGCTGCTCTGCCTCTTGGGCCCGGTTAACGGATGGCTGTCTGTGCTGGAGCAGGAGGGGCCGTCACATTCGGTCAGTGGGGCATCCTGTCTCCACGGGCCGTCAGCCGTGTGTGCCATGGCGGTGAGGCCAGACCTGTGTCGTGCGGGGAAAACAGGGCAGAGCCAGTGGACAAAGGACCACGTTTTTGAAAAACCCATGAAATAGTCTTGCCAAACAATTGAACCTGGGTCTTTATTGCCAGCAGCCAATTTACATGCAACACAGCGTGGGAGAAACACAGCGGACCTCTCCTTGCAGAGCTGCCAGCAGCAGAACCCAGACCCATCCGGTCAACGAGGAGGAAGGGGGTGGGTGGGGGGAGGCCGGAGGGCTTCCCGCTCGAGGCTCACAGTGCTCCTTGGCGTGCAGGGCGGGCCGGGGCGAGACTCGGCTGCACGCCACTCGTCTCTGGCACAGGCGGAAATGGGGGCTCCCGTTAGCCTCGCTGCTGAGGAACTCCCCCCTTTTCAGCTGCCGCAGCAGCTGCTGTGCTTGAGAGGAGACTGTGGCCCTGTCGGCGCTGCGTCCAGACCCCTGCGGACACAGCGCCACGCTGGGCTCGCTGCACGTGCCTCTGAGGAGGGCTGAGAGCGGGCGGCCCGGCCAGGCCTGGCGTGGGGCGGGGGCGCCCGGCACGCGCGGCTCTGCCTGGTCTGTCCGCCCTGCAGTCGGAACTCTGCAGGGCGAGAGAGAGCCAGGAAGAAAGGGGGGCGCATCTTGTAGGTCCCGCAGGGCCGCGCCGCCCGACTGGGGCCTGGTGCGCGCCGGGTGGTGCAGGGGAGTGCCAGGGCGCGGGCGTGCGCGAGTCCCCCGCAGGCGGGGGCAGGGGCAGAAACCTGTGTGGCTGGAGCCGGGGCGAGGGGCCTGGGGGCACACAGGCTGCAGAGGTGGGGGTGGGCTCTTCCAGGCTGAAGTGAGGACTTTCCTCCTAAGAGCAGTGGGCGGTTTGCAGCGGGGCATGTGAGTGTGCGTGCACGTGAGAGTGTAGGTGGGGTGGGGTGGGGTGGGGTGGGTCTGCGGGCCCTGGGAGGCAGCGCCCGGG